AAGCACTGTGTAACTGCCTCGAGGGTGCTTGACCATTTTAACACAACGTGGTGCGATCATCCCCCTTGCGCGGAGCGAGGGTCCTCCACCCCGCACAACATGATCTACTCGACCACCATTATGGTTACCGCCAAAAAAAAAACCGGAGGTAAAAAAAAAAAACGGTAACCTGGTTGCCGAGTTCACGAAGTGAATTGGCTTGTTTTACAACGTCGTTGCCAAGCGACGAAAACCCAACCCCGATGGCAAACACCGAGGGAGGGGGGGGGAGGGGTAAAGGTCGTGCTTGTGCCACTGCTGTTGATTCAACCAAGGGCAACCACACAAACACTCGTGACCTTATAGCAGCGTGTCCTCGCGAACACTACTGCTGTGGAGCGAGGTCCCGGCTGACAGCAGCTGGGGGTCCAAAGGAGCTGCTCGTCTTCCAGAGCGCCATACCTAGGATCACCTCACCCCACACGTGCTCACGTTTCGTTCAGCGGTAAGGCATTGGAGAGCGCGGCGCCGACTACATATGCCTTGCAACCCGCCACGGCTTGTTCAAATAGCAGTCAGGTTTCGAGTATTGTGAGCAACACTCGTCCATACTTGGTGTCTTCACGGCAAAAAACGTCAACACATACATGCTGCCGTGCGTACGGCATGGTGGCTACTGGGCGCTTACAAGACAACACATCATTTCAGGTTCAGCAGGTGAACTCATCTCCTATGTTGTGGGGTTTTTCGAAGATGAATGAATCTCGATCTTCCCGCCGGGTGTCCGCCCCGACTTCTGCTACAAACAGAAAATACAGAAGTAGGTGGAAGTCAGTCGAAAACGACCCGGACATCCCGCTATATAATAGGTGGTGGGACTCACGTCTCGATTGCCCTTGCACAGTTCCCCCAGGAGATCGAAGGCAGTCTGCAGCGACCCCGCGCACCACATGCCGTCCGACGTGATCTCCTGGACCAGGTGCGGGAGAAGCCCGCCGCCCGCGATGAAGAGCTGCTCTTGGGTACTGCACATGACCAAACACAACATCCCAGCCAAGAGGAGAGGAGAGGACATCATTTGGAAACGGAAGTAAAAATTCTGGGAAAAAGGGTGACAGAATTTGGTGCAAGAGCTCCACGTTGAAAGACTTTAGCCAGAAAACACCATGAGAGCAGCGCAACCCCCCGCTAACCAGCAAAAGGTACCCCAGCAGCTGCCTAGTTCACGAATTCAAGTCTGGCCCTTCTCAGCGGGGTCATGAAAGGCTGACCCTGAAGGGTGATTACTGGCAACAAGATGGGCGCCTTCGCGCTACCTGCAAAATATGAACGCACTCACACACAGGTAACCCACGGACAAGTGAAGGGTGTCCATTGGCGATTCTTTTGTGGCTCACTAAATAGATGTGACTCATGGCTTCCGACTGGCCGTCGATTGCACCGTCGACGCTAACATAATTAAACAAACACACATATATGCATGCATGCATGTGTGGAAAAGAGGGTTTCGTCCTCGACAGACGTTGGGGAGTTTCAACCTTCATGAAGGTGTTCTCCACATTACCCCCCCCTTTTTCGAGGCTTCTTCTTGTTTGCTAGGCAAGAGAAGTCTTCTTGGGGTAACCGGAACCCGACCGGCTGGCGGCGAGTAGAACCACCTTTTTTCCAACAATCTTCTGTGCGTGTTGCGGGTGCGCCACTTCCGCCACGCATTGCCAGAAGTTTCGAGTTCGATAGACAGTGCATCGTTTCTTGGCCCACCCACCGTTTTTCTTTTTCCGTGTACTCCGGAAGAATATTAGGTGAGCAGCAGGTTTTGAACCCATGTCTTTTGCAACCAGAAGCAGACACCTGACATCTCTTCGTCGACGCCATTGTGGAAAAGAGGGTTTCGTCCTCGACAGACGTCGGGGAGTTTCAACCTTTAGGAAGGTGTTCTCCACACATGGACGAATGCCTACACATCCGCTGGCGTTCTTTTCATGGATCAGCCGGTCAGCGTGGTCGATACCAAGTACAGAAACAAAACAAGGCACACACACGCCTGCTTGCGTTTGCTATCCCGCAATCAAGAATGGTATCTTGTCACGGGTCAAAGACGGTTTGCGCAGTCGATGCTAAACAAAACAAACACACACGCACACACACACACACACACACACACTCGGAGAGACACAGAGACGCCGAGAGAGCCACCACACACCTCCCACCGCGGAGGAACGCCTCAACGCAGCTCGCCAGCCAGAACCGGTACAGGCTGTCCATCGGCTCCCGCATGAAGACGTCCACGATCTTGCTCAACAGTCCGCGGGTGTCTACCCACTCTCCGCCCCCCTCCTCCTCCCGCTTCCCCTCGCCCTCCCCTTCGTCCGCTACCGCGGACGAGGCGGCTCGTCCACGCCACGCGAACGCCAGCTGTGCCTCCGACTCCGGTGCCCCAGCCTGCCGGTCGACACCCGACCCAGACCCCAGCCCCGAAAGGCGCCGATCGATAGCAACAACGATCGATTTGTCAATCCCAAAGAGGATAGAACGGGAAGGAGTTGTCGCGTGGGAAGAGCTGGGCGATGGAAACGCGAGCAGCAGCAACTGAAACCCAAAAGGAAACCGCCGTTTCATGCCCAAAAGTTTGCCGTGTGAAGGCAAACCTCGGGTCATTTCCATCTCAGCGCGGATCTGTTGAGCGGACACGCGACAGGTCGCCGCTCTGTGTACGACGACGATGCTGCTGCTCGCGGGAAAACATATGTAGTGGGAGCAACACTTCGGCCCACCTCGTCTCAGCAGCACATGCGCCCCACGCCGCCGGAATCTAACTCGAGTGTACCGCCAACAAGAGCGAATTAACCCTATGGCGCTGGACTAATAAATCACGTTTACTACGTCCTCCCGTGCAAGCACAAGAGCGAAACCAGCCACCCCTCACCTCCACGTACACAACGTTTCCGCTCCCGTTGGGGTTTGGCATGAACCGACCGGCGGTGAAGAGCGCCCTCTCGTGCTCCGACAAGAGCAGACCCTTAAGAGGATTGTTATTCGAATCCCTGTCGTGGCAAAGGAGCGTGCGTGTTGGTTGAAAGGGGCAGCTCGGGGGGCACGAAAGGAGCGCCAAACGAGTCATACATGTACGGGGCAGAGGGAAGAGAGAAGAGAGCGACAGCAGTCTCCTTTGTTCTGGCGCTTGCCAAAAGGACGGCAGGACACCCCTTCCCTTCCCTTCCCTTCCCTTGCCTCGAGAGAAAACAAGTTCTTCATGCGCGGCCGTTCGGCCACCCCTACACCTGGGCTTCTGCAACATGAAAAAGATGGCCCAGATTGTAGAATATTCTCAACATCAGTTTTCCCTCAGCATCCCACGGCAGCGAGGCAGCTTGTTCCACCGCATACACGTCCATGCCTTGGCAGCACACGGCGTCTCATCGCGACCGCAACAGACGCCACCCCTCGTCTCACTAATCCTAACCTCCCACGCTCCCCCCCCCCCCCCCCCCCCCCCCCCCCCCCCCCCCCCCCCCCCCCCCCCCCCCCCCCCCCCCCCCCCCCCCNAAGTTGTGTACGAGGCGGAGATACTGCACGCGCAGCGCCGACTCCGGGTTGCAGTCGCAGTGGGCGCCGTGGGGGCCCTGGGTCGAAGACGGGACGCCCCAGCTCAGCCTGTCGAACATCGAGTCCAGCACGTCGATAAGGCCGAGCTTGGCGAGGGCCTGGTGAGCCTCTCCCTTCCGCCGGGCCCCGAGGAGGGTGCAAAGGACGAACAGCACCTCCACCTGAAATAAAAAACCGAAACAACAGAGAACCGAGGGAGAAGCAGAAAGGTTCACTGTAAATCATGTCTCACTCCTTCCCCAGACTGTCATCATTCCAGGGAAGCTCCAAATACCCGAAACTCCTCTCCCTCTAACAGGCGGTTTTTCCCCGTTAGTCAAGCTGTTTTCTCGTTCTCCAGAAACACCTCCCCCAACCGCTCCACCTACACTGCCTTCACACCTGGTGCGGGGCAAGCGTGCGCCCATTGAACTGCAGCTCCTGCCGAGCCTGCTCCGGCGTAGGCTGGTGCAGCCTCGGACGCCCCAGGGCCACGCTGGGCCCGATCCCGTGGCCCCCGGGGTCCATCATCCCCATCCGCCCCCAGGTCAACGCCTGCTCCAGGGACGCGATTGTCCCCGCGGGGTCCGGACCAACGAACGCCGGCTGCAGGAAGTTCAGCAGGTCACGGATCGCGAAGCCGGCGCCGTCGCCCGCGTCCACTGGCGGCTGCGGCGGCGGGGGTATGTCAATGGCGGCGGCGGCGGCGGCGCCGCCGCCGGCCGCGGCGCGCTGGAAGCGCTCCGCTGTCAAGCCCCACGCCCCCGCCGCGTCCCTGTGCTGCTGCGCCGACCTCTCGAGATGCTCCGCCGCCGTGTCCGCCGCATCCGCCGCGGAACTCGCNATGGCGGCTGCGGCGGCGGGGGTATGTCAATGGCGGCGGCGGCGGCGGCGCCGCCGCCGGCCGCGGCGCGCTGGAAGCGCTCCGCTGTCAAGCCCCACGCCCCCGCCGCGTCCCTGTGCTGCTGCGCCGACCTCTCGAGATGCTCCGCCGCCGTGTCCGCCGCATCCGCCGCGGAACTCGCGCTGGTTCTTCTCCCCCCTCCTGCCGGTGCACCTTCGCCTTCTTCCCCGGCACCGGAGGCGCTTGCACTCGTGGCGACGGTGGCAGTCGGGGAGATCGCGGCCGGTGGCTCGTCTCGCTGAGAGATGCTCCGTCGGAAGATGGACCGAAAGAAATTCGCAATCCGGCTGGGCTCCGCACCGCCGCCGCCGCCGCCGCCGCCGCTGCCGCTGCGCGCTCGGGGCCCCCCTGCCTGCGCGTCGTCAGACGACGAAGCCTGTCCTCCAGCAGTCCCAGGGACGGGGCTACAACGACAGCAGTTTTACAAAACAAGGTGACGGGGGGGGCGGAGGGGGGGGGGCACAGCAGACAGCAGAAAAGGCCGGGAATTACGTTCTCGTGTGCCGTGCGGGAACAAAAGGTCTGACTACTCAACACGACGGGACTCTCACGTCGGAAAGGAAACTCGATAATCACCCTTGCGGAAGCGACGGTGGCATTTTCCTCGCGGGCTCGAAACCCGTTACGGCTGACTCAGAACTTATCGTCCACCAGGAGAGCATATCGAGCACGACATGGACTCTAACATGCTTTTCACGAGTGAAAGAAGCACACGTCAGAGAGGGAGACGGGTCGACGACGACTACCTCATCACAGGTTTCTAACCGGCTTCAGCCTAACAAAAAACTCCAAACAAAACTCACATGAGCGCGCTTGCGGGCAGCAGCACCGAAAGCAAAATGTCGAAGAAACGACAAAAGAACAAGCAACAGGAAAAAAAGAAAAGAAAAACTAACCCCATCTTCGGACATCTGGAGCGCACCACCAGGCTAACCGCGTCGAACAACTACCAGTACGATGGCAACCCTACCCTTTCCGTCTGCACCACACCTTCCCGTTTCAACCGACGCCGCCGCCGGTACTGCCTGCGCGGCCGATCTGAGGTCCGCCAGATACCCCCATTCGCTCGCTGCCGGCCACGACCGCTGCTGCTGCTGCTGAGACAGCGTCCTTCCCTCCGCGGTGCCGTCACCCGCCACAACGCTTATCCGCACCTGCGCAATGTGGGTCTGCTCAAGCTCTATGGCCTGCTCGGCTGCGGAAGTGTCGGGAAGGCGCGTGAAAGCGCGAAGAAGCCAAGCACGGGGGGGCAAGGTCGCGAGATGGTAAGCTTCCGTAAAGGCTCTCCGCCATGTTCGTGCGCCGCGCCAGGACGCGGTGAAAAACAGCTGCGCTAACTACTAGTACTGCTGTCGCTGCCGGTTGAAGGGTGTAACGGCAAAGAAAGTGATGTCTCCACGGTGACAACAGGCAAAAACCCGCCCTTGCAAGAAAACAGCACTCCTCAAGCCAGAAAACAGATCGGTCCCAGGTGAAATTGCAGCAACTCCCGAAACGAGGTAAATATTTGCCATCATGCTTGTCGCTCTCGCCAGTGCACCACATAGTCTTTAGCGCTAGGTCTGCCAGTAGGATCCCGCGGAGGAGGGAGCACGCGCGACAGGAAGCACTACTTTGTCCGCTGTCGCTCTCCTCGCAACGCCACATTTCTACAGACGAAACCCCGCGCTTTTTATCGCACCGAACGTAGCCAGGGACGGGTTGTAGTTCATCACCCTCAGGAGCTCCATGAGGCGCGGCAGGAGGCTGGGGGCCGAGAGGATGAGGGCCTGGTTCTTGTCGATGATCGAGTCAGCCCTCACCACGCGGTCTCGCCGCAGCTGTAACAGCTCCATCGACCTGATCGGCAAACGCAAACAGCAGCACGAATTAGAGTTGATCCCCACAAACAACATGTTTTGAAGTCTCGAGGCTACAATCAATCCATAGACACATGATTCATCGAACATGCCGATAGACCCACTTTCAAAATCTCAACTGTTCCCATGAAAACACTACCCTCTCATACACCGCCGGCGTCCTCCCCCCCCAACCCCCTCGACTACCCATGCACGGCGTCCCGTCTCCACTCCGCCGGACCTGAGGACATGAGCGCTCTCCATGAGCTGCCTGTACTCGGGTTCAAACACCAGCAGCGCCAGCACGCGCGAGAAGTGTGCCAGCTGCAAGCTCGTCATGTTCTCCACGAGGGAGTGCAGCTCGGGGACCTCGCCTAAGAAGTACGTGCTCGACTTGACGGCCAGAATCTGGCACCGACCGGTCGCATCACACGCCGCAAAAAAGTACCGAGGCGCGTGGTGGGGTTGGGGGGTTGGGTGAGAGGGCGGGAGGGTTGCGATGCTTGCCGAATGTGTGCTCTTGCTGTAGACCCTCGTGGCACCTCTACAGCGTGGGGCGGTACACACCCGATGATGTGGTTCTAGCGAACCCAACTTAAAGAGGATAGAGGACCATTGCTCGCTTGTCTTCACGGTTGTTCCGTATTAAATGTTGGGGGCGCGTGGCACCAAAGGGGACCGAAGTTCGATTACTTTTATGCTTGTTTGAGGCGTGACGACACCCAAGAACGTGTCCACCAACACAACTCAATGCCTTGTTCTTTCGATTCCAGGAATAAAAAAGGCTTGGGGTGAGAAACGAATAGCCGATTCTCCGCGCAAAGCACACAGATTCTTGGAGATAGGCCGTTCCGCGGCCCTCTCTCTTGACACATACATTTATCCAACTCTTCCACCTCTCTCTCTGTTCTTCTTTCTATCACTGCCCCTCTCACCTCTTCTACCAAGCCCACGGCGACGTCGAACACACCCTGGTACGCCATCAGAGTCAGGAGGTACAGGATCAGCTCCGGCGACCCCAGCCTGCGCCATTGAAGGTTCAAGCAACAGAAGCGCGCACACCGCAATCAAAATGGAAACACCCAGAGTGAACACACACAACACCCCTCTGATGTAGACATCAGTTTGATGTAGACATCAGTTTGATGTAGACATCAGTTTGTGAAACCAGCCTGTGCGATTCAAGCAACAGAATGGCGCACACCACAGTTGAAGCGTTTAACGCAGAAATCAATCTGGAACGCGGCAAATGCCAGGAGAACAAGCAGCTCCGCGAACTGAGAACTCACACCCCCATACACCCTGAAAGAACACAGCAGCAGCCATCGACACCAAGGTCCTGGCGTTGCACGCTGCGCAACCCCCCCCCCCCCCCCCCC